CTACCTCACGGGCGCCCTCGGGCTGGGTATGGTGCCGCCAGGGGCTCGGGTAGGCCGGCCCGTGCTGCAGCTGTGTGCGGCGGGAGGGCCTACCTCGCGGGCGCTCCTCCAGCTTGGCTTTCTCGCGCTTTTAGACTCCCTGGCATGTAGACTGGCTCATGTAGACGCCTGCCTCAATGTGTCGCCTCTATTGCAGGTGGAGCCGTCTTGGCTGATCCTAGACCAGTTTGTGGTGAGCGAGGTGCAGATGGTGTTCGGCCTGGACGCGCTGCAGTCCTCGCACCCGGTGTCGATCGAGGTCGGCAACCCGGATGAAATCAACGAGATCTTCGACCGCATCTCCTACGCCAAGGGTATGAGCCTCTCGACAGCCTCAGGCTCCAGGTCCGGGTCCGGGGCGCCGTCTCTAAAAGCCTCCCCCTTGGCTGCCCCCAGGCGCCTCCATCATCCGCATGATGGACCACTTCCTGACGACGCGCGTGTTCACCACGGGGCTGACGCGCTACCTGCGCGCGCGCTCCTACTCGTCGGCGACGCAGAACGACCTGTGGGACGCGCTGACGGAGCAGGCGCACCGCGACCGCGCGCTGCCCGCCGACGTGACCGTGCGCGACGTCATGGACACGTGGACGCTGCAGACGGGCTACCCCGTCGTGACCGTGACCCGGAACTACGCCGCGGGCTCTGCCCGCCTCGAGCAGAGGCGCTTCGTGCTGCGCGGCATGAACGCCACCCATGGGACGGACCCGCTTTGGTAAGATGACCACCTCATGCAGCTGCAGTCCCATCTCCCTCGCACACAATAGTGTATTTCGGCTAACCGAGAAAGAAGAATAGCGGGTATAACAACATAAAAGTTCCTGATTGGTCTCGTTTCTGTTCTCGTTTATGTTCTATGAGCTACCCGCCATTCCTCTCTCTCCATTAGCCGAAATACACATTGAAATAATAATCATAAGCGCTTTTTAAATTTTGTTGCCTAATTTCAAATTTTCCACTGAAATTCATTTCTTATCTTAAATGTTTTTAGGTGGGTGCCCATCACGTTCACGACGCAGGCGTCCCCCGACTTCCAGACGACGCGACCCAGCCACTGGATGCGCCGCGATCGAACCCTCGCGCTCGACTCGATCGGCGCCGACGCCAACCAGTGGGTCATCTTCAACGTGCAGGAGACGGGCTTCTACCGCGTCAACTACGACAAGACCAACTGGCGGCTGCTCGGGCGCGCGCTCCGGGACCCGGCCGCGCTGCGGGTGATCGCCGCCACCAACCGGGCCCAGCTGTTGGACGACGCCATGAACCTGGCGAGGGGCGGCGTCCTGGACTACGAGACGGCCCTGGACGTCACCCGGTACCTGCGTTACGAAAAGGAGTACCTGCCGTGGAAGGCCGCGCTCAACGCGCTCGGCTACATCGACAGCATGATGGTGGACAGCGGTCACTACGATAAGTTCAAGGTTCGGCTGCGTTCCCTGACGCCCTCACTCGCCCACACTTACAGGCCATGCACAGATCGTGTAATATTTCTAAGTTTGGGGTATTTACTGGGATAATTACGTCCACCTCACTGAGCTCAGCACTGATGAAAGCATTTCGGGGGTCATATGCTAAAGTTAACTCGCCAGGGAAAAGGCTACCTACGGCGACACGTTTACCGTGGATTTCCAAACTTTTTTCTCTCGTAACCGCGAGTTTTTATAAAGAAACAGGGGAAAAGAACCATTTATCTTAAAAGGCCGTGAGAAAAGTACCCTACTCCCGTAAATGACGTGAAATGTAGCCTTATTTTTGCCTTTACTGTCTGGAACCCTTCCAGACGTACGTGATGAGCCTGCTGCTGCCCCTGTACACGGACGTGGGCATGCGCGAGCAGCCCGGCGAGCCCCTGCTGCGGGTGCTCACCCGGGTGTCGCTCATGTCCTGGGCGTGCAACTTCGGCCACGAGGACTGCGTCGACACGGCCTTCGACATGTTCTCGCAGTGGCGCAGGGCGGCCGACCCGGACAAGGAGAACCCGTGAGTATCCCCCCCTGTCTCACTCTGCTGCCCGACGCCGCACCCCTCTCCATAACCTCCTCCCTCCCCCTCAGGATCCCGGCCAACCTCAAGCCCGTCGTCTACTGCACCGCGCTGCGCAAGGGCGGCCAGGCCGAGTGGGACTTCGCGTGGGAGCGCTACCTCCGCACCAACGTGGGCTCGGAGAAGGACCTGCTCCTCAACGCGCTCGGCTGCACCCGGGAGACGTGGATCCTGGGCCGCTTCCTGGAGCGGGCCATGACGGACAGCTCGGGCATCCGCAAGCAGGACGTGCCGCGCGTGTTCAGCTCCGTGGCCGGCAGCGTCGTCGGCCAGCCCCTCGCCGTGCAGTACCTGCGGGACAAGTGGGAGCGCGTCCTGCGCTAGTGAGTACCTGAGCACCAGCCACAGAGCTGACCACCACAGGGCTGCCCAGAGAGAAAAGAATCCTCTGTTTTCTCTGGGGCTGCCCACCGCGAGGAGGTGACACTTCATTTGCGCGACGATGCTCGCTTTTACGTCCATGACGTCCCAAACTGCGTCTGTTACAGCATCGGCACGTCGACGTTCATGATCAACAACCTCGTGCGGAGCACCTTCAAGCGGATCAACGGGAAGTACGAGCTGATGGACGTGAGTAGACCTGTGCTCCTGCACACGCCCTTCCCTCTGAGTGTGCGGCTCCGAAACGTTTCACGCCAATTGGACGTCGAAAGTCGTCATGACGTCGTTGTTCGACCATGATCATCTAAATCGACGTCTATTCGACTTCTGATTGGCGTCTACGTGTCGAAAGATTCTCACTGGGTCCCCATGTCTCTCCTTGACCGCAGCTGAAGCGCTTCGCCGAGGACAACAAGCGGGAGCTGGGCACGGCCACCAGACAGGTGATGCAGTCCATCGAGCAGGCGGAGGCCAACATCGAGTGGATGGACAAGAACTTCAACACCATCGTGTGGTGGCTGGGCAACACCACCGCCTCGAGCTAAGGACGGGTACAAGCGGGAGCGGGGCACGGCCACCAGGCAGGTGATGCAGTCCATCGAGCAGGCGGAGGCCAACATCGAGTGGATGGACAAGAACTTCAACACCATCGTGTGGTGGCTGGGCAACACCACTGCCTCGAGCTAAGGACGGGTATTATGCCGCGGAGGCACGGGGAAGTCGCGACATGCAAGTGATTTGCTTAGGGAGGGGTGTTGTCATTCACTGCCCTGGTCCGTAATCTCCTTTTTTTCGGACAGATAGGAAGTGAGGCGATGTGGGCAAAGCCGGTTCAAGTGGATACAAGAGATGATTAACAATGATTACAATGTAGTGGGTACTAAGTCTTAAAGCAGCACCCTCTACTTGTTATTTTCTTTTCCATCCGCCTACTATGGTCAGCTTTACGTTGTTTATGAGATCAGAGCCACATGAGTGATAATTATGAATACAATAACTGAATTTTTTATCGGTTATTTGCCTTGCCAAGTCAACAACTTACTTATTACTACAATTAGTTATAGAAACCAAATATTTAATTTAAACATGATTAGATGTGTTGAAGCAGGCTTTAATGCAGAAAAGATTACCAAAGAGTTAATAAAACCTCTTATCCTATACCTTGTAAATAATTTTTAAAGAAATGATTTTGTCTGCACATGTAAATAAATTCCCTTGTTGAATATCACAATAACATAATAGCAGTTAGCTCTCTTAGCTCTTTCAGTGCGGAGCATAGATCTCTGTTTTTTTTGTTTTATCGGTTTAAATATTTTAGAAACTTCTAATGTAATCTAATTCTCTTTGTGCTTAGAAATTAAAATTATTTATTGGGTTGTTGAGAACTTTGTAGCGTATATTTAAAATAAATGTCTTACTCAACCAATGTTTTCAATTCATTTTTTATACCAGTTCAAAGGCTGTGTTACCTTTTCTTATGCCACTCAAGTTACATGCTTGTGGTATCGTTTTACGGAAATCCCGCTCGCATCCAGCACCCCCTCCGCCACCCCCACTTCCTCGCCCCCCTTCCCCTTTCCTACTAGCACCACCGCCCAGCGCCACCGCCACGCCACACACTGTGAATGTTTTGTTTTTGATCGGTCTTAATGTAGGTAAGTTACAATGGTTTTCTGAGAATGACTTACTCCCGAGTACATTCCAAATTAAGCTACGACTGTGTCACTGTTCCAGACGCTTGTTAATATTCTGAATTCAAATGGGGGACGGGGGAACTAACCCTACTATTTCCTAGGGTTGTTTGTGGGATATGATTGTTCGGTTAGCCCATGGACTCCATGGTTAGCCCGAATAAATAAACACCTGCCCCTCTTTTTTTTTTAGTGTTTGTACATCCCCGGGACAGAAGTTATTGCTGAAAAAGTAGGTTACCACCACTTGAATGACTAATAAGAAACCGTTTTTTTACGTAAGTGGCGTCTTAATCTCAGCGACTGAAATACCGATCCGCCTGCCATTGTTTTCCACGACCCACGACAGCTGTTTAATCTCTCGTAACTGCTCTTATGTTTAGCGAGGGCCGCGAGGGCGAGGTGGATCGTTTTCACGGTGGTCATGGTCATCCCGTTCGTCTGCCTCACCGCCAGCACCGCCAGCACCGCCAGCCCCGCCAGCCGCGCAAGCTTCGCCAAGAGCTTCGGATCCTTCGGATGACCCCAGGAAACGCAGCCCCACTGTGACTACGACTATGGCTGCTGTTGCTGCCCCTGCTCAGCACCAACCCAGCATGCCTCTCCTGTTGCTCGTTGAGCAAACGGTCCTGCGCGAGATCGTCGAGAGACGTGTCCTGCTGGACCTCGCTCCTGTAAAGACGGAGGACGGGCGTGTCTCCTTTCTGCCTACCCTCAACTATACCAGCACTGTACCCGGACAGCTCTCGATGTCGTTGCAGGACTGCGAGTGCACCGAGCCCTGCATGGTGCTCTGCAGGATGGTGGCTGGCCACTACCGCCGTACCCAAGACCAGCGCCCAGATGCGGTTGAGGAAGCGCGGGTCATCCTGCATTCCGACCCGAAGAAAAGATACACTTTGAAAAGTGTGGTGACGGTGCGGTATGGTGCCTCAAGCCCCTTCAAGCAGGTGACCATCCTCTTGCAAGTTTATGATATAGTCTGCCCGCGCCCCTCGACAGGCGCAGGCCTCCACCTCAACCGCGCCCGTATGGAGGGCACCCTCTGCGACGTGAAGCTGGTGGTGGAGGGCGTGGAGCTGCCCGCGCACCGCAATGTGCTGGCCCTCCGCAGCCCCGTGCTCAGCAACATGCTGACGGGGGACTTCAAGGAGGCCCGCGACGGCCGCGTCGAGCTGCTGGACTTCTCTAGTGGAGCGGTGGCCAAGTTCCTCGAGTTCCTCTACACGGACCAGATAGGGGACTGGGCGAACTCCGAGCTGGAGCTGCTGCAGCTCTCCGACAAGTACATGGTGCCGGAGCTGCGGTCCGAGTGCGCGCTGAGGCTGTGGAGCTGCGACCCTCTCCGCGCCCTGGAGGTGCTGCACGCGGCCGGCCTGTGCGACATCGTCAGCGGCCCGCTGCGCCGCCGGCTCACGGCCACCGTCGTGGAAAACCACAAGATCCTGGCCGACACCGAGCAGTGGGCCGTGTTCAGTGCCACGTATCCCGTGCTCGTCGACACCATGCTCGGCCCCGGATCCCAGCCGTCCGATGCGCCCGTCTCGGTGTGGTCATTGTAGCGTGTAGTCAGTTTGTATTTGTGGTCGACCAGGATATTGTACTCATTTCCCCTGCTTCGACCATACACTTGCACCTCTAGCGTTAGCTTGACAAATTTTGTTCATCTTTTTATGTAGCTGTACTTTTTGTTTTTCTCGTTGCTTTTGTCGGACATGTGTTTTTGTAATAAA